CGGCTGTGGCGTTGGGTCGGTGATTGTGGGGTTGGGGATGATTGTCGGTCGGCTGTGGGTTGGGGGTTGATTTGTCGGGTGGGGTGATTGTGGCGTAGTGGGTGCGGGTAATTGTGGCGGCTGTGGGTGTTGGGGATGATTTGGTTGGCGGTTTGTGGGGTTGGGGCTAATGTGGGGTTGGGGGTTGAGTGTGGCGGCTGTGGGCGTGGGGTGATTGTGGCGGCTGTGCGGTGTTGGGATGATTGTGGCGGCTGTTGGGGTTGGGGTGGATTGTGGCGGCTGTGGGGTTGGGGGGATGATTGTGGCTGGCTGTGTGGGTTGTGCGATGAATTGTGGCGGCTGATGGGGTTGGGGGGTGATTGTGGCGGCTGTTGGGGTTGGGGTGATTGTGGGCGGCTGTGGGGTTGGGGTGATATGTGGCGGGCTGTGGGGTTGGGGGTGATTGTGGGGTTGGATATTATTGGCGGCTTGTTGGGTTGGCGGGTTGATTTGTTGGCGGCTGTGGGGTTGGGTGATTGTGGCGGCTGTGGGTCGGGGGTGATTGTGGCGGCTGTGGGGTTGCGCGGTGATTGTTGGGTTGGGAATGATATGGCGGCTGTGGGTTGGGGGTGATTGTGGCGGCTGTGGGTTGGGGGTGATTGTGGCGGCTGTGGGGTTGGGGGTGATTGTGTCGGGGCTGGTGGTGACGGCTAGCGGTCGGAGCGCTTAACTCAGTGCACGGAATCTGCTGAACTCATTAGTGCCCGAGCCTTGTTGTCTCGTCCATTATTACCGAGTTTATTCATCCTTTCAATTAATCGGCCGCCGTAAATCTTCATAGAAGCAGGGAATGTTCGGCTGGATTCAGCAGTCGGTGATTACAGCGAACAATACCTCAACGAACGCTGATAACGGCGCATGCAGCGTGTGCCGGCTAACAAAGCTAATTGCAAAGCTTGTAGGTCAACTTTAGAGCGCTGGTAACAGTGCCTGAAAATGCGGGGAAACAATATCTTACGGTGCGGCGTACGGTGGCGTAAACAATACTTCACACGACATGGTAATCGTGCTGGAAAATACAATAGGGGTAATGGCTCGTGGTATCATATCAAGAGTACACAATAGAGATAGATGATCTCTAAGAGTAGATAATCTCTGAGATACTCTCTGAGAGTACATAATTAATCTATATTATGTACTCCTGATCATAATTATATATAGCATGGTGATTACACATTTCCTGATTATCGAAGCTTCTTATTAGCTAACAAGTGACATAAATACAGGCATTGAAACAGTATAACTACTTAAATCGTGCTTCTAGTAGCTGTGGGGGTAATGTATACTAATGGCTGCTGAACTGCGAATGTGTGCGTTTTGCAATAAACGTACATTGCAGTGGCACGATACCCTTAGAAAATAATCAAACCTTTACAATTACATTCATCAGATCCAGCTAAATGAAATAGAGCTGTGCAGAGTTCATCTCCATAGAGCCGTCGGAACGCGACCGAATATTTGCGATCGGCGCACTCAGCCGCCTGATAATAACGAAAGTGACAAAACACGCCGCCAAACATTTGGCACGAGTAAAAAAGTTGATGACTTTCGTTAATGGTATCGACGGCAGCGGTGCGAGTTAATATAATAGGTGTATGTAATAGGTGTATATAATATATAGGTATATATAGGTATAGGTATATATAGGTATATATAGGTATATATAGGTATATATAGGTATATATAGGTATATATAGGTATATATAGGTATATGTGTATATAATATATAGGTATATATAGGTATAGGTGTATATAATATATAGGTATATATATAGGTATAGGTGTATATAATATATAGGTATATATAGGTATAGGTGTATATAATATATAGGTATAGGTGTATATAATATATAGGTATATATAGGTATAGGTGTATATAATATATAGGTATATATATAGGTATAGGTGTATATAATATATAGATATATATAGGTATAGGTGTATATAATATATAGGTATATATAGGTATAGCGTGTATTAATAGTGTATATTATAAGGTATAGCTGTATTATATATATACGGTATAGGTGTATATAATAGGTATACTTATAGATATTAAGGTGTATTATAATAGGCTATATATAGCGTATACGTGTATATAATAGGCTATATATATGGTATAGGGTGTATATGAATACTAATAGGTAGTATGTTTATAGGTATAGGTGTACTATTTATAGGTATATATTAGGTATAGCTGTATATAATATAATAGGTGTTTATATTAAGGTATAGTGTATATAAAATATATAGTTATAGGGTGTATATAATAGGTATATATAGGTATAGGGTGTATTATAATACGGTATATATAGTATAGCCCTGCTATATAATATATAGGGTATTAGGTTGTTTTAATAGGTATTATATAGGTATAGGTGCTATTAATAGGTATATATAGGTTTTATAGGTTGTATATATAGGTATATATATTATATTAGGTGTTCGACTATAATACCATTCGTGCCTTGCTAGCGCAGAATGGGCAATTGCAGGCAGCGTTCGATGCATTACACCCCGCGTAACGAAATTATACTCATACAAGGTGCGGAATTTAACGCGAGTCAGGAGTCACAATACTCCTTCTGATTTACTGCCGGAACTCATG